TGGGCATTTAAGTAATTTAGAAGGTCTGAAACTTTATATTAAAAATTCATTAAATAATAAAAGCAATTTAGACATTTTATAGCTTTTTTTACGGCAAAAAGCTCATAAGTGGTGGTGTCATTGTTGAAAAATAGATCAGTTTAATCTCATATCAATAAAACAAACAATAAGGAATGTCGCTGTAATTAACCATTCTTTAAAAAACATGTGCAAATACACCATTCTAAACTTTTCAAACATAAAATAATTTTAAAATTCCAATTTTGTCATTTTCCCTTCCAATATTGCCCTTATCACAATTCTTTAATTGAATGATACTTTTTTTTTTAACCATTCTCACCTCTCCTTACCATCTCTATGCATGCGTCTTCCCCACTCTCTCCCAATATGAAGATCACAGCTTCCCGTGGCAATTCAATCTCTTGGTTGATTGGCAATTCGAATTCGATCTTCTTCTCGTCCTCTTTCATTACACTTGATTTCAGACTCACAGTTCCTTGGGTACATTGCAAGAAAAAAAAAATAATAAAAAATCTTTGTCTGAATTACATTACAGTAATCTCATTGATACCAAAGAAAATCCCAAAAAATATACACACAATTTTGTGGATTCCACCTTTAGTTAATAATACAGAGTAGAGTTGTTAGACATATAAACAGTTATCAAACAACAACTCCAACTGAACCATTCCAAACACCTCCAACAATCAACCATTCCCAATCCTCTATAAGTGGTAGTGACACTTTTTCACATCCAAGAAGCGTTCGCCTTAAGGCGCTTAATTTCATTGAAACCTTAAGTTATAAAAATAGGTTGAATTTAAAGAATATGAATTCTCTAAACTCCTTTTTATTGATTAATGAGTAAACATTTTCTACAATAAAAACTTCAATTAATGTTTTAATGACAACAAAATATCCTTTAAAGTTCATCATTGCACTCCATTTATATATTGGTCCATCTGCATGTGTGCATATGCAAAATTGGAATTTTCAGTACATAAATTGTATGTTGAGAAGTTGTTTATCTAGTACAGGAGTCACAATTCGTGTTCATGGGTCATAAGCGTGTCATATCAATGTAGAATATTCTACTAAATATGTAAATTCAAACTCGACCCATTTAATAGTCGTATCAAGAATCTTCAACACTAACCCGACCTGTTTATTAAACAGGTTAGCGTGTTAAATCATTTAATGACCTATTTATCAAAATAAGACATTTAATATTCAATCAAATAATAAATATTAAAAAAAAATTTGTCACAATTAACCCAAATATTCAAAATAAGAAGAAAAATCATAAGGTCTAGTCGAGGTTTATGTTGAAATGACTTAACTGTCTATAATAATTGGATTTAAACAGATAAACAAGTCATATTTACGATTATGACATATTGAGTTAAATGTATATAAACGAGTTACACGGGTTGAACATATCAACCCTAACCCGATATGGTTAAGTAAACGGATTAATCGTATCAAGCCGTTTATGACCCGAATCCGTTTAAGGTTAATCAAAACCCATTTATCTCGTATCGTGTTCGAGTCGTATTAACGGATCGTATCATAATTTGCCACCCCCGAACTAGTATACTTTATTTGAATTTTAAGTCCTCAGTATTCATTGAAATCCACCTCATTTGAAATTCTATCTTATTTCAAATTATACAATTTTTTTTTTGGTATAATAAGTAGTCAAATTGTGGTATAAAAACACTTAATTGATCATTCAATTTATTTATTTAAAATAATCAATGTTTTAGCCCATTCAATAACTGAGACTAGAACCATGTGAGGGATCGAAGTGGTGGGGCTTGGTGTCTAGGGTTTAAAAATTGTCCGAGCAAAACATGTCCAATAACTCCAATACAAAATGTTATTTTTTTAAGCTGAAGTTATATTTTGAGAGGAGATACAGTATCAAAATGTTATATTTTAGCAATTGTGTTTCAATAGTGTATTTAATCCAAAATGCTATTTGGATTGCATTATTTTCATCCACCTACTATATTTTGAGAAACGGTACCATATGAGAAAAAAGAGACCTCTCAAATAATTTGGAGAGCTCTTATATATGGCAATACTTTTGACAATCTTAAAATATAAAAGATCTTTTAAGAGCTTATTGACGTGTATTTTGACTTTGAAAAGCGCTTTGAGAGAGCATCAGAGATGCTCTAACAAAGCCGAAAATAACAGCCCATGGAATGGAAGTGACTGCAACAACATTGATTAAATGGGCAAAACTTAGACACCTCGGGAAGTCCAATTTCTGCTGGACAATCAAATTTTATGTTTGATATCATCATAAATTAAACAAATTAAGTTTAACGTTATTTATCACTTGAGATGAACTCAATCACAATGATCTTTTTTATGATAAATTATTCAACGAATTTACCATGTGTACCGACAAAACTGATATCAGAAGTGTGTGTATATATATATTGGTGAGTTTTTCGTTTTATTTTGAATGATACAAGAATTATCAGTTGTGTGTTTTATTTTATTATTATGATAATAAAATAATAATATATGTGTCCTGGTATTTTTTTTTATACATTTTCCTAAAACTAACTAATCTAATAATGGGCAATTTTACTTTTGGGTGCATAAAAAAATCAGTTGAATTGGATAGGTTAGTTCCGTTCGATGTTTTCATGGTTCAATTCAGTTTCAATTCTATAAAAAATAATAATAATAATAAATAAACTGTTTATAAAGAATTGGTTTATACTTTAGAGTCCTATAAGACCAATCAATCTGAACCATTTCGTTAGATAAATTATATTCAAATATTTTATATAATATAAATAATAGAATAATAAGATTAGTCTAACTATATATTATAACATATTAACATATATAATCATGAATATATATATATATATATATATATATATATATATAATTATATATGGAACCAACCGTTTTTCCAAGGTTTGATTTGATTTTATTAGTTTGATGGTTTGGTTCCATTCTAATTTACTTCAACCCCGTCAATTGATTCAGTGGATGGGACTTATCTTACTATCATTGTGTTTCAATCTAAAATTAGAAGAAAAAATATAATAATAATAATAATAAAATGTCCCTTGATTAAAACTAAAAAGACAATGTTGTGAATTTGCATTACATAACAGTCATTAGATAATATTAATAGGATAAAGTACAAAAAAAATCTTATCGACTTGTAATTTTTTTCAATAAATATATTGTTTACTTTTTTTTTATCAAAGAATCCCCGTCAATCATCTAGGGATAAAAGAGTAATATTTGAACCAAAATATTCTTTTATTTAAATTCTAATTGTTTCGAATTTCAAAATTTCATATCTCACAAGCCGAAATATTGCAACACGGAAAGCTTATAAAACAAAAATTCTAGAAATATAAGATTTGTTTAACAAAACGTCATACCCAGAGAGAAATAAGTAATATAAAAATATTAGGGTTATTTGCAAGAAAATTTTCAAAATTATTCATTTACATATGGAGCATAACATATAAAAAAAATTAGCCCCAATAGAGACTGAATATTCATTTTGAATTTTTTTTTTAAATGGCGAGTCTATAAAAAAATGAAAGCACTTTGACGCAAAATATGATATCTTATGAAATCGATCTTTGTTGGTGCAAAATTTTTTATATGTTATACTTCATATGCAAATGAATAAGTCTCTAAATTTTTATATGGTTTATAAGATATGAATTTTTGAAATTCGAAAAAATTAGGATATAAATAAAAAAATTTGGACTCAATTCATATATTGCGTATGGATAAACATGCACTCACCCAGTAAATTGAATTTTAAATGCTCAAATTTTAAGTGTTGATCATAAATTGAAAAATTCTTTTGTATAATCATCTGAATCTTAAGTTATCCAATGGAATTCTATCCGTTTCAAGTTAAACTTAATTATTTTTATTAATTTATTTGTAACATATGCTCAAATTGAGAAATCGTTCATCACTCAATTGATTTATATTCTTATGAAAGGTCAAGATGTCGAATCTCTTTTGAAGCACACTGGATATGTGTTTGAATGAAATATATTCCCTAGAACTAGGGGTGACAAATGGGTAAGTTGGGTCGGGTTTGGACTTGGTTGAAAGTGGACGAGTCAAACATAGTCAAGACTCGTATTTAACCCATTTTGAACAGGCTAAAAATGGATTGATCAAAAATATATAGGATCAATCCGTTATGACCCGTGGACCCATTAATTATTATTTTTTTAATTATTATTTTTATTTTTTAAATTTTAAGGAAAAATCAAATTTATAAACGTCTAAAGGCTAAATGGAAATGTAAATATAATATAAATAATATTTAATGGTACATATTATATATACCATTATATTATGATACAAATTATATATAATATTATAATGATATATAATATATATATATATAATGGATAAATAAAATAAGTTGAGCAAGAAAAAGAGTATGTGCGGTCTCCTTTTCAACTAACTTTCAGTTGAGGAGGCGAGTCGTAGAGTGAAAAGGGTGGTTTAATGCAGTTCGCCCTATTATTTATTTTGCTAAATAATCATTGTTGTGGTTGTAGCAATTGTTTCTGGTGTTACTATCTATTTTGCTATATAATCTTCTATTCTTTACCAAACAACACAATGAGTTCACTATTTTAACACACTTATAATTCAATTTTCATGTACCAAAACAAAAAAAAAAATCTGGTTACTGCCACATTTGATTCCAATTTTGAGCACCAAATCTAATCTCTCAACTTCAACATCAAACATACATTCAACAGGCCACACACCGAGTACATCTTAATTATTAGCTATGTCCATGTATAAAACTAAAACGAATGTTTAGCAAATACATAAAGCAATAGTGTATAGCAATAATGTTCTATTATTTTTAATTATTGGGTGGTGAAGGGAATTTTTGATGCATTGGGTTGTTAAGTCAGGAATATATGCCAAAAACAGTGCAAATTTAGAACATTTTCATCAGGAGGCCAATGTAAGCAAAATAAAACTAAAATAAACCTAATTCATTTAGTATATGAAATGGATCAACCAAGTTAATAATGTCAAATCCAAAAGAGAGAAAATCCACAAGGAAGCATAATAGACACCAGACCACCATGTTTAAGATAGACAAGGAAGTCCGGAGGCCAAACAAAAGCTCTCTTAAAACGACACACACACACTTCCTCCCATGCTTTTCAGATGTAGATTCTCCAAGTAAACTACTCCTCCAATCAAGCTAGCTTTGCCCTCGAAAAGTCCATCTCCGGGTGCTGCATTAATTCAAATACAAGAAAGATTAGTTAACTGACTTAGGTGAAGGACACATATCGACATGTCATCTCGAGATAGATATACAAGAGCGCCAGGGGTTCAAGTGCTCACCTCAGCCATGAATTTCTTGAGAATATCTTGTTTCTGCACCTCATCACTTGAAGGAAGACCCATGGACTTCTGTCGCTGATCAAACTGAAAAGGAAGGCACATCAACGCAATAAACACATGCACAAAATTTTAGACAACAATGCAGCTTAAGTGGGGTAGGCCAAGAGTGAAAACATTAGGAAAGCATTAGCATCTTACCATCATCTTCTCAACCGTTGACCGTGTTTCTGGGTCCAGATCAGATAGCTTGCTGGTTTCGGGTTCTACCTTCTGAGTATCAATCTCAGGACCCCCTTTAACCAGACTCTTCCACCACTCCATTTGGTTATGCTTTGTCAGAAGAATAGAGATGGATTTCTGATCCTCTGCAAAACACAATTTTTCATAAATGTAGAACGGTAACATATCTGCATCACTACCACTGACAAGTCTCTGAAAATCGATGCGCACAAAGCACCCAATTGGATGGATTCACTAAATAAGAGGGTTCACTGTGTTACTCAGGGAATACCACTTAATTTTTCTCAAACCATTAGCAGCTATTAACATGCATACAAGTACAGCCTATTCAACTATATAGGTGCTGTGTGCAGTATTATTGCTTTATTAGTGTTTGAACATACCTAAGCTCCAGAAGCAATCATCAACTTTGACAGATTGGAAAAGTTCCCCCTGCAAGTAGACAAACAGAGATGATTGAGCCGAACTTTGAAATGATAACACAACGGAAATATCAGGATATAAGAAGGCTTACATCAATGATTGGAGGCTGACCCTTGAGGCCAACTTTCAGACCTTTTTTCTTTATGTCGCATGTAATGAACCTAGATTTAGTTCCAGGAGGGACTGGAACATTAACGGTGACCTCTTGCAAAGTCTGAGTCCAAGAATATGTATCATGATCGAGACCATTGCCTATATTTGGAACTGCTAATAAAAATCCAAACAGAAAGAAAGAACAGATAAGCTGTTAAAGGAACTGATAACAATACAAAACAGAAAGAAAGAACAGAAAAGCTGTTAATTGTGCAAAATAACAACTTTTCATATTAAAGACAAGCTCCTTCAGTCACACACACAAACTGAAGCTCAATAGCTAAAAATCCTGAACCAAGAGTCCTCATCTCAAGTGTGACAATATCATCTCAACACAAATGAAACTGATAGTTATTGCCACTCGGCTGGGAAAGAAAACAGTCATCAGTTACATCTGAGTTACATGCAAGCCATGTGATTTCAATTAATTTACTGCTGTTAGAGATTTGGTTACTTCTATGATTTACAAAAAGCAAGCGGCCAAGCCATGAGATGGAAAAGAACTAACTGGTGATTGCCCAATATCTCAAGTCCACTTGAAACACGCCTACTTTATAATGGTTTTATGCAAGGAAATAGTATCATCAGCTATGTACATACTCATGGGAAGGAGCAATCTCCATCTCAGACTACATATTAAAAGACTCTTGTGCTCACAAGGATGATGATGATGATGCGCTCGTAAGGAAAACTAGACCTATCAGGCACCATCGATCATTTATGTTCACATACTGGCTCTCTCATTTCAACTATTTGCAGCGCGGTAAAATTATGCAGCTCAACTGATTTTGTCTTCTAACTTCAAAAGAAATCAATGACTGTACATTTAAAACAGGATGTTAAGATGTCCAGATGGGATATAATCCTAACCTAAAACTAGACACAAATAAATGAATGAACCAAAAAATGAAGATTCAATGGAAAGAAGATAACTACACCTAAACAGGTTCACGGAAAGCAATAGTTTTGCAGCATGTTATGTTCGGTATTCTTTGTCAATGGGAGAACAAAAAAAAAGGATAAGAAAAAAAAAAAAAAAATCAAGATGTCACTTTTTCTGACAAGTATACAAAGGACCAATTGGACGGGGTATGCCACATGAAAATCCTTTCTATATCTGTCTCCTCTTTTTATTGACCCTCTGTCTATTTTTTCTCACGTTTCATTTTAAATAGCATCCCTTTTTATTGATACATCTACTAGTGTTAATTGTACACGTCCATACCACCTAAGCATGCTCTCATTTAATATTATTACCAAAAGCTCTCACTCCAATTTTCTCCCTAATATATTAAATTTTAATCATGTTCCTTGCATTTTCCCACTATATTAATCTTAGCATGCTCACTTCAGCGACATATGTATTGTTCTTGTTTCTTCTATTGCACGCAACATCCCACAAGGGAGTGGCCATCCATGCATCTCTAACTCGGCTCTCCACTGCACACTCTTTTCAAGCCTCTAACATATCCACTGTGGTCCACAAAACATAAAACTAACATCCCTTTCTTTTTACACAATCATATCCTCCATAAATTCATTTAAATCCTATTTAATGCAATTTGCAAATCAGAATAATAAAAAAAAAAAAAAGTAGAAGTCCATTTTATCATCATTGTGAATCCTAATCACATATCAAAGGTGGGATTAGAATACCTCCTACACTTCCTATATTCCACATTAATTCAGGTTCAACATAGGACAAGTCATAAATAATCTAACATGAATTCCTCGAGCTTCCATTACTAGTAGAGGTAATAATAATTCTATTTTTATCACTCTTGAGGATATCATCCCAATTTTGATGACTTCCACGATTAGGCACAATTTACTGGCATCAAGAATAACACTTGCATTACCAAAATCCCACCCTAAGGAATACATATAGCACAAAATAAAACAATAATCATTATCTACCTTCCTACGAGCCTCCATCATACAGCAGCATTAACGCATTTCTCCAACAACAAAGCAGATTCATCCCTCCAAGGTGGAGGGTCAATGCACCTCTCAAATCCATTACTGCCCCTTGGATCTGTTATGCATCTTGTTCACTTTTGCTTACAGTCTACATGACTTAGATCCTCTTGTGTGATTTAACAACATGCTAATTTATCATTATATATTATAATTTAAACATCACTCCTTAGCTCCACAAATCAATTCATATATAACAATATCAAATATAGTTATTATTATTATTATTATAATGGTAAATACAAATGTAAGTAACTATAACCCATTCCCAAATATACTCACACTCCATTTCTTTCAAAACAATAAAATTCTACAATTGCCCCAAAAGGACAAAACCAAATAAGCATGTAGAGACAAGTGGGAGGTGAGGTTGTTTCTGAGGGGCAATTGTGAGAATTTCAGTTCCCCAAGAGAATATCAAAAACTGTAGTTCTCATGTTTTTATCCTGCCTTCTCTTGAAACCAAAAGCACTCACTTTCATATCATCACTTTCTTTCCTCGTCAGACCTTCTCTAATTCAATTCAAATAAACAAGATCAAAATTAAGGTTCTTTTTTCCCTAAAGTAGGGCTATTAATAATTTAATACTCCCTAAAAAACTCTCTCAATCAACTTATTTTGGCCCTTAAAAGGGTGTAGGTATACCTTTAGAACAATTGTTTAGTATGCAAAGAATTACTAGACAAATACTCCATTTATCTTGTTTTCTTTTCGGAAAGAAGAAGGAATTAGAATGTGAGAGAACTTTTTGGGGTGTGAATATTTTTTCTTTACCTAATATTTTCTTGGGGATGCATAATCACAACCCCCAAAAAGCACATATGTCCCCCATAAGTGCTCTCACAGCATACTTCCTTTCACATTCCAGTTGTTACTACAGAAGCTTATCCTGTTTTGATTTTGAGAACCAATTCTGTTATTTCATTCTTTTTTGGAAGGGAAAAGGTGTTTTTGTGTAGTTTGGTTACTTTTTTTTATTACTTCTGGGGTGTGATAATAGCAATACCAAAAACAAAATTTATTTACATTGAATATTTAAATAAAACTAGAGAAAATTTCCAATTCCCTTCTTTACTATACTATCTTGACAGCAAACACCACAAACAGTTTCACACACACCATTAAACTCTGTTAAGCTAGGGCTTATCTCATTTTTAATTAAAACAATCAATCTAATTTACTTTCTTTCCCTAAGAGCTAATAGCACTCTCTCCTTTCCCTCCTAGTTATTGAAAGGCAATGTATGTCTCCTATTCTCTCAAATTAACGAGAGAGAATGGGGAAAAAAATTACATAAGTCAAATAAACACAATTCATATATAAACCCTAACGCAACTTGACAGCAAACACCACAAAAACTCGGTTAAACTAGGGCTTATCTCACTTTTAATTAACACTATCATCTACTTTACTTTCTTTCCCAAACGACAAATAGCACTCTCTCCTTTCCCTCCTACTTATCCTATTCTCTCAAAATTAACCAGACAGAAGAAAAAAATAAATAAATAAAAATTACATAAATCAAATAAACACAATTCATATAAACCCTAAAGCAACTTTCAAGTAATCTGATTTTCTCAGTAATAAAACAATAAAAACTAATCTGATTTTCTCAGTAATAACACAATAAAAACTAGGAATGCGCATATAATACTGAATATATATCTAATGTTAGAGCTGAGAAAGTTCCAAGGTTCAAGAATCAAACCTAGTGGGCCACTTTTCCCATCCTCCTTGTCGCCGGTCGTCTTCTCGCCCTCCTCCGACGCCTTCTTGGGTTTTTCCTTGACGGCCACCGCCGGCGAAGACGCGGACACAGACTCCTTCGCCTTCACCTCCTTCTCCTTCTCCTTCTCCTTCTCCTTCAGCTCCTTCTCCTTCCTCTTCCTCTCCTCCGCATCCACCTTCTCTTTAACCGAACGAGCCAACGCCGTCACGTCTCTAATCACCGACTCGCTTCTAAAGAGATTCGACTCTAGAGAAACGAATTCGAACACGTTCTTGACGAACCCTAGGGGGTTCGACGGATCGAACTCGGCATTGAAAGGCTTCGTCGTCGTTGACGACGATGACTCCATAGGCCTCTGATCTTCTTCTTCGTATTCAGAGAGTATGGCCATAGTTTCAGACAAGTTTTCTTCTTCGAAATCAAATTAGGGTTTCGATTTCGCCTATTGAATTTAGGGTTTCGATTTCGCCTCTATTTTTTGGATTATATATAATAGGGATAGAGGTAAAGGCTTTAAATAAAGACACGGAAAGAAGAGAGTCCCTCTGGTTTCTATATACGCTTGGCACAGCTAGCAGAGAGTTCCAGAAGGCTTTATGTGTGTGCATTTACAGAAAAGGCCATTTGGGTTTCTTTGTGAGCAAGTTCTTTAATTTCTTACCTTCCAAAAAAAAAACAAAAAGTTCTTTAATTTCTTACTTTATAGTATTTTTTAAAATATATATATTTTATTTTCAGAATTACGATAATACCCCCTTTCATTGTTTAAATCAGTGCAAATATTATTATTTGCTAGAAGCCTAGAACTATTTTCATTTTAACTGGCATATTGAAAATTAAAAACTATTTTTTTTTTTTTTTCCTAATAGGTACTTACACACACTTGTTTCTTTAGAGACTTAAATCCCTGACGTTCCTTTGGGAAGTAAAAAACTGGTACCGCTAGACATTGACCCGTTAATAAAAACAAAACAAAAAATTACCACCCATAGGACTTATCATTTACGTTTGCATTACACTTAAAAAAAATTTAAACTTTAACCTATATTTTCTCCAATTTTAATTTCAATACATAGCTTTAATTTCACCATGACATGCTCTATAAGTTGTTTTCATAAAAAAATGTGTAGAATATTTGATTATTTTTTTATTTTATCTTGACCAATTAGAGAAAAGAGACTCAAACATAGGAATATTAGAAAGTTAAGCACTTTATCAAATAGACTATATCTCAAAATTTTTAAAAGTTGAAACATTATACTCTTTTATTTTTTATCTTGTCTTGTAATCTAAATTTTATTAATTAAAGAATTTTATTTATTATGATCCAACTTCTGCTTGGCAATAGTGGTGTGAAACTAATCAACCAAGCTATATATATATATATATATATATATATATATGAAATTGTACTACAATCATTATGATTAAAGGAAAAGGAATTATTCCACACGTAATCTAAAGGTACCGTACATAACTTGAATGGGCTTCACATCCCAAAGTGTAACAAAGTATTCGTTTGTACAGAATGTTTAAATCCCTATTGGACTAGTGAGCGTTTTATAGTGTATAATTATACATATATGGACTATTTGAGATATTATTGAGTTATATAAGATGTATTTGCGTATCGGATTTGTGTATGGATCGTAGGAGGCGAATAGAGATGCGGTGAGATAATCCTGTGCGACGCGCGCATAAGGACAAGCATGCATCCAGCGAATGACAGCATGCCACATCAGCCAAAAGGAGCATTAGGCGCGTTTAAAACTTAACCAAATATTCTAAATCAAATATATGTGAAACTATATGGCTTGTAAATCAAGAATATCAAGTTAGAATTCAAATGGAGTGAATAGTACACTCGGAGCATACAGCAAGTGAAGATAGTGAGCTAGTGAGTGAGATAGTGAGTGACTCAGCTATCTCACTCACTGCACACGCCCCTCAAAATCAAGTTCAAGAATTTAGCATAAGTCAGAATTTGCTTGATTGCATTCAATAATGGAAGATTAATTTTTACTTGTCTAAACATTTTCATAATTTCAAGGAAAAAGTAGGATGGAATAAGATTTATGGCTTTCACATTCCACTATCATCCTGTCAAACCCAATGTCTTAATTCAAGTCCGAAAAGGAAAAATTTTAGTTCACGAAATTTTTGTCATTGTAGAGTACTATTGAGAATCAAGTTTAGAATTATTATGTATAATTTATTTATAAAAAAATATAGCAAGTATAATTTAGCTATGTGCACATATCTTGACAATTATTGGGGGAAAAAAAATAATAATCCCATCAGGGAATTCCATCTCTGTGCAGATATTTGACAATGATGAGTATAATGGACTCAGAGAATTGGGTGGGAGGAGGGGGCAATTGAGGAATTTTCTTTTATAATTTCAAAGGGGACAGACAATATAAAATTTTCATAGATATATTATCATATATAATTTAAAAAAAAAAAAGGAAACATCACTGCTATATGGTACTTAAAAAAAAAAAAAAAATTCAGTCGGTGGACATGTAAAATTAACTTGTCAAAAAAAAAATCTTAGCATAGAATCCTATTTACGTGGACATATCTTGAAAATAATAATTAATTTTTATATATTTGTGAGACACTAACTCAAGGGGGGTGTAGCTCATATGGTAGAGCGCTCGCTTCGCATGCGAGAGGCACGGGGTTCGATTCCCCGCACCTCCACTTCTGTTTGTTTTGCTTTGCTTCACTTATACTATTCCTGACCTTTTGTTTTTTTTGGCATTACTCAGATCTCTCTAATAAGAAACATACCCATACATAATGATATCACATTATATTTGTATCAAATTAGTGACCGGATTTACCCTTTTTTTTAATAAATAAAAAACACTAATTCTCATTCATGATTCATCCAATTTTTTTTTGCAATTTGTTGATGGTCATTAATCATCTTCTCATCTGTCAAAACTCTGCAGAAAGAAGCTACAATGCTTGGAGTTGGATTATTTGGGAGTTTATTTAGGATGATGAAATCAGCTTTAATTGGGTCATTTCGTTTTTCTTCCCAGTAAATTAGTCACTTCTTGCTACATATACACACACACACACACACACATATACTACCTCCCTCCCATATTAATTGTCCACTTCAAAAATTTTGACTCACAATCACTGAAGTAGACATCTAATATGAAATATAGGTAATATATAAGTATATAAAAAGAATATAACTGAAAATTACCTCAAATGACCAAAATATAAAAGATGGTGATGAGTCAAAATTTTTAAATTTGACAATTAATATGAGATGGAGGTAATATATTCAGAAAATTGTATAAAAAGAAAGAAAAGCTGTACAGTGTAACTTATATAAGTAATGGGCCTGACTACCAAACAGGCTTGGACAGTCAGACCATAGCCCAAAGACAAACAAAATAAGAGTTTCAAGGGCCTAATTGAGGCCCATCAATGAGCCCAACCCCATCCAAATAAAATGATTGTTGAGGCTTGACTACTTCAACCAAAGGACATGTAGCCCAATGGTGCAAGCCTGTTTCTTGGCTATTGTGATTCATAAAATTTTCATTTTTTACTGTGTATGCGGCAGATTTGTGTGTTAATCTTCTTTTCTTGATCTTTTTCGATTAAATTTGATTTGACTAACGCTATGTTTGGTTGAAGAGTATAATTGAGGAAGGATGGAAGAATCTTTTTGTGTTTGGTTGGAGGAAAAGAAGATAGGGATAGATGATTGGAGAGATGAAACATCTCTCATTTCTTGAAGGAAGAGAGGAGAGAGAAACTGATATCTATCTTTTATTATTTTATACAGTGAAAGCATATTGGTAAAAAATATATAAAAAAATATATTTTCCTTCCATTCAACCTAACAAAAAAAAGAATCACTTCATCCTTCCTTTCGACTATCAATTTCATTCAACCAAGCGAAAAATGGGAGAATCACTTTCCCTTCCTTAGGGATGTCTCATCCACCCCTCCCCCTATCTCTTCGATTTATTTTTCCATTAGTTCAACCAAACTAAGCATAAATCTTTAAGACGCCATACAAAATGCCCCTTCCACTTAAGCCCGGTAAAGTTCAACCTTTCACACGCAGGCGTGATTCTAAAAAATTGTTTACACTCAAAGAGAGTCCAAACCTTAAGGATTGGTCACCCACAACATTACTCATTTGGAAATAACTTAATTGGTCAAAACAATTTTAAACAATCTTGTGGAATCCACCAATGGTAGAGACTGAAATTCTAATTAATTGCAGTCTATGCTGCTACTACACTTCGTGTAAGTTTGTAGCAATTTAATCGTTTGGCAAATTTATCCTTGTGGACGAAATTTTATCAAGCATGCTGCATATTTTGATGCATACTTCAATAAACACCGTAACTTAATGCACACTGAAAGTTGCCAGGAATTTTTTTTTAATCAGTTATCACCAAGAATGATGGGAAAATTATTGTTAAGGACTCTGTAGATTTGGGCTTCATATAAACATGATGAAATACTAGTAATTGTTACATGGGCTTCATAATTATTTATTTATTATTATTTTTATGTGGGTGCCATTTAATAGGTTAGAATCTCTTTAATAGATGTTGACACTATAAATCACATACATGGTTCGACACAAGGGGTATTCAGCATTTCTGAATGAGGTGGGCTAACTTTGGATTGAGCTAATTTGGAGTGGGCTACCATTCCTAATTTGGTAAAAAAAATAAAATAAATTTGGCTAGATCCGCCTTTGGTTTGGCAAATCGTTCAGTTCATAATGAATTTAGGACACCAATGCCGATACTCACCAGTATACTGGTGAGTGTTGATACTCACATCTTAATTAGCCTGTTCTTATGAAATTCACTGATATTATGCTTGTAATGGCATTATGGCCTTGAACCGGCCGATTTTCTCCCAGAATTAGCCATTTCGGCTACGGAATCTTAGTTACGTAGTACAAAAGAAATAAATAAAAACAATCAGCAAAGATAGTTGTTTTAAATTTCTCTTTCTTTGCTTTTGTTTTCTTCAGCAATTTACTCTTCTCTAGTTCTATAGACAAAATGGGACTTATGAATTACTCTTCCATTGCTCTTCTTCTTCAACGATCTCCTCTTCTCCAGTCCTTAAGACAAGATGAGTCTTGACAGCCAACAAGCAACAACCCATTTGTCTTCTCAATTTCTCTCCCCTTTTTTTTTTTTTTTTTTTTTTTTGGCTAAACCATCCTCCAATTCTCATGAAAAAATTAATTTTAATATTTAAATATAATATAATTTATTTTAAAAATTATTATCATACTTTTTAATAAGAGTAACAATGCAAGTCTGGTGTTACTCGAATGGTTGGGTTGCTTCCCGTGTCTAAAAGCTCGTATTTATTATATTTATATTAACTACTTATAAATATATCACCACTTGTCGTAGATGGTCTTAGAAAATTCAATAAAAACTATTCACCAAAAAAAAATTGAATTATGTTCATTATATATTACCTCTTCTTACATGTTATTATGAATGTTCAGTTCTAAAAATTTATCTTTATTGAATTATGTTGTAGAAAGATGTGTATCCAAGCACAGATCCCTTGTGTGCCCAGG